TGCAGCCACTCTGGAAAACAGTATGGAGATTCCTCCAAATACTAAACATAGAACTACCCTACGACCCAGCAATTGCACTACTAGGCATTTATCCAAGGGATACAGGTGTGTTGTTTCGAAGGGACACATGCACCCCCATGTTTATAGCAGCACTATCAACAATAGCCAAAGTACAGAAAGAGCCCAAGTGTCTGTCGATGGATGAATGGATAAAGGAGATGTGGTATATATATTCAATGGAGTATCACTCGGCAATCAAAAAGAATGAAATCTTGCCATTTGCAACTACGTGGATGGAACTGGAGGGTATTATGCTAAGTGAAATTAGTCAGAGAAAAACAAAAATCATGACTTCACTCCTATGAGGACTTTAAGAGACAAAACAGATGAACATAAGGGAAGGGAAACAAAAATAATATACAAACAGGGAGGGGGACAAAACAGAAGAGACTCAGAAATATGGAGAACAAACTGAGGGTTACGGGAGGGATTGTGGGAGGGGGGATGGGCTAAATGGGTAAGGAGCACTAAGGAATCTACTCCTGAAATCATTGTTGCACTATATGCTAATTTGGAAGTAAATTTTAAAAAATAAAAAATTAAATTAAAAAAAAAGAGAGAATAACTAGAAACTAGTATTCAAAAGAGACAGGATGGATAACATAGTGTCATGAGTTATGGTGTATCCAGCATTAAATAAATAGCTGCAGAGGCAAGAAGATCTACATTATTTATAATAAAGCAGCTGTGAAGAGATATGGTATTATGAAAAAAACAAAACTGAAACTTTTATTACGTGTAATGAATATCGGTCAAATAACCTCACCAAAACTCACTTTTCTCATCTGTAAAATGAGCACGTTATCATGCTTGTCTCAAAAGGCTGTGGCAATCATATACAGAAAGTAACTTCAATCGGCAAACATCTGGGGCGCCTGGGTGGCTCAGTCGGTTAAGCATCCGACTTAGGTTCAGGTGATGATCTCGTGGTTCATGGGTTTGAGCCCCACACTGGGCTCTCTGCTGTCAGCACACAGCCTGCTTTGGGTCTTCTGTCCCCTTCTCTTTCTGCCCCTCTCCCACTCATACTTCCTCTCAAAAATAAACGTTTAGAGAAAAAAAAGAGTTCCTTCTCACATTAAAAACTGTAAAGCACTATATTTGATACGTAACGATTTAAGTACATAGATAGAATATGAGGAAAAAAGCATACAAGTGAAACGAGATGGGTCAGAATGTTTTCCCCAGAATATTTTTTTATTGTTTCACACCTATTCCATCAGCAGCCATTCATATTCGTCGCAGCTCACAAACATAAGCGGTGACTTAGGATGAGACACTCTACCCCCAGTTAACCAATCAGCCAAGTCAAATCAACCTAGCAGTCAGCAGGGCTAAGAGCCAGAAAGCTCTTTCAACAGAAAGCTCTCCCATCCATAACACTGCTATACTGGCTTTAAAATTAAAGTAGCAGAGGGAATAATAACCCCTAAATTTCAAAAAGCATCTTACCAGGGTGATGTCTCGAGAAGCTGCAGCTGCGCTCATATGCAAACTAGGCTGCCTCACAGAACTGCTGCAATCAAGGGCTCGAGCAAACGTCCCAACAGCACTGAATAATCCACAAAAACAAAGAAGAAAAATTAAGGCAACATTATTTTTTTATACTTAAAAAAACACATTTGGGTAGTGCGTGAAAATTGTAAAAGTCAGTGCTAAGGATCCAGGGGCTGCGAGCTGAGGTCTGAGTGTGTCTCAGCCTTGTCTGCAATGGGCGTGTGGCGCCTTGGACAAGATGCCTCAGTTTCTTCCTGTGTAGAGAACAGTGGTGGCCAAGAAGTGCACTACGTTTGTCTCTGCTACAGTTCTTTTCTGGGGTGGGGGGCGGGGGGGAGCTCGTTTCCTTCTTGCTCTTGGTGTGGTCATTTAGGGAGGATCCCCCGGAGGGGACTGCACTAGGCAATCTGCCTCGGGGACTTAAGAGAGAGGGGGACAGCACACTACGAAACCAAACCTCTTAAGCATCTAGCAGTCTCAGAAAGTCGTCATTCCTGAGTGTAATGGCCTCCGAGAGAGGAGGTAATCCCCTAAACAGGCAGTGGGGAATTATTTCCCATGTCCTTTTATGGTTGGGGCTCATCTTGGTCAAGACTTTTCTTTACACAGGAAAACAGGTAAATAACAAATATAGCTGTCAGGTGGGTATGTGCTATGGAGAAGAAGAAGAAGAAAAAAAAAGAAAAGTCAAACAAGTTCTTAGATGTTTGAGAATCAAATATCCAATGAAAAGTATTTTCTTTAAGATTTAAGCATTGACAAGCCAATTAACTATATATGGGTCATTATAATGAAATTGAGAAAAAGTGATTTGTGTGCCATAAAGAAGGGAAAGATCTATCATGAAATGCCATGGAGCAACCAATTTGGTATTCAACTGTGCTCAAAAAATGAGACGTAAGTGAGCTGCAGAGTTTGACTATTACTGCAAAACAAGTTCTGACCACTTTTTTTTAGCCTAAATTGTGAAATCCCAGGAACATTTTTACCTTGAAATGAGGTATCATCAATTGTAGCAATTCTTCCTATAAATAGGGCTCAAGATGTAATAGATTTCCACTTAAAAAACAAAACAATTACCACAACACTTTTTTTCACTTGATGATTTAGAAGGCCTTCCCATAAAGCATGAAATAAACGTTTAGACCTGCTGCTTGTTGTATTTTATTTTATTTTATTTTAATTTCTTCTCTCCCTTTGTTGTGTTTTAAGCATGTTAGCTGAGGAAAATTTTTTAATGTTCTGATTAACATAGAACACACATGCATAAAAACACACATTGCACAGCTATGCAGTAACTGCAAAGTGAAGCCATCCATGTCACTAACACCCAGCTCAGGGTACAGCAACCGCACCCCAGTAGACTCCTCCTGCTCCTTCCCAATCTGTAATCTCTCCTTTGTCCCAAAAGAGAACCACCATCATGGATTCTAACATCATGGGTTAGTTTTGCTCATTTGAAAACTTAGCAGAAGCACATACTATGTACTCTTTTCACATGCAGCTTCTTCTGTTCAAAATTATGTCTGTGGGCTCACCCACACTACTGGTTATAGAGGCGTTCATTCATTTTCCTTGCTACGGAGCATTCCTTTCTATGATGCCCCCTCCCCCTCTGTTGTTGATGGACATCAATGCCCAGTTTGGGGCTACTCTGGGTAGTGCCATGAATGCCATCTGTATATGCAACTTTTGGTGCACAGGTGTATGTATGCAATTCTGCTGAGTATACAGTCAGGAGTGAAACTCAAAGGATGTGTAGGTCAGATGAGAGCAAAGTGGTTATACCAACTTACACTCGCACCACCACAATAGCAGGGTGCTGGTTGCTCTACCTCTTTACCAATGTTTGGCACTTTCAAATTTTCACCATTCTGGTGGAATGTGCAATGGTATTTGATTATGGTCTTAATTTGTATTTTAGACCATTTAAAAAAACAAAAACAAAAACTGAGGGGGTGCCTGGGTGGCTCAATTGGTTGAACATCTGACTCTTGATTTCAGCTCAGGTCATGATCTCAGAGCCCTGGGATCAAGCCCCACATCGGGCTCTGTGCTGAGCATCCAGCCAGCTTAAGATTCTCTCTCTCTAGGGGCACCGGGGTGGCTTAGTCAGTTGAGTGGCTGGCTTCAGCTCAGGTCATGACCTTGTGGCCCATGAATTTGAGCCCCGCATCAGGCTCTGTGCTGACAGCTCAGAGTCTGGATCCTGCTTCAGATTCTGTGTCTCCCTCTCTCTCTCTCTCTGCCCTTCCCCGACTCCACTCTGTTTCTCTTTCTCTCTCTCTCAAAAATGAATAAATGTTAAAAGAAAAAAAAATTAAAGATTCTCTCTCTTTCTCTAAAAAAAGAAAAAAAAAATGAAAAAGGCACCAGGTGCATCTCCTTGGTGTCTTTCATGCCGGCTTGAAGGAAAAAGGAAAAAACAAAGAAAACCAAATTTGAAACTGCAATGTCTACTAAATAATCCCAGATCTGGGTAACCTGCCTGGAGTCTAGGCCAGCGGCTCCAACAAGGATTCATTTCCACTCTCAAATCTTCAATCTCCTCGATCTACTGACTGGCTTCCCCAGCAATGTACATCAGGTCTCCATCCGAGCACCAGTGGCTAGGTGTCTGAGTGCTGGAGTCCAAACGCCTGGCTGCTGACATGACATGTGACTTCCATGGTGCCAGGCACCATGAACAATGCTGTCACGTCAACTGTGCTGTCATGTCAGGGTGCGGTGAGACCCTTTTATCCTTTGGGTCATGAAGAAAGTTCAACAGAAAATTAGAGAACATAATGAAGACCCTTGTGATCACATCTGTATCTACTGGGTTCTAATATTTTGCCAGACTTGATTCATTGTTTAAGGAAATAAATATTAGAAATGTTGTTAGAGCCTCCTATACACATCTCCCACATCATACATAGACATGACATACATATTCATCTATATGGCCATTAATGAAAACATGGTTTGTTCATGGTATAACTTTTTAAGTGATCATACTGTGTGTACCCTCACTCAACATTAGTTTTGAGATTTATCTCTTTGCTATATATCCCTCGAATTCATTTTCATTATTGAATATACTTCAATTCACTTACCAAGTGCTTGTTGACATATTCTTAGGGGTTTTTTTCCCCAATTTTCCACTATTTACACTGCTATGATACACTCACTTACTTGCTGCTTTGCAGTAACTCCGCCATGAATATCATTTACTTTTATAATTGAAACAATAAAAATACATTTTTTAAAAAAAAAAAATTTTTTTTTCAACGTTTATTTATTTTGGGGACAGAGAGAGACAGAGCATGAACGGGGAAGGGGCAGAGAGAGAGGGAGACACAGAATCGGAAACAGGCTCCAGGCTCTGAGCCATCAGCCCAGAGCCTGACGCGGGGCTCGAACTCACGGACCGCGAGATCGTGACCTGGCTGAAGTCGGACGCTTAACCGACTACGCCACCCAGGCGCCCCTAAAAATACATTTTTGTCCCATTCATTTTCTCAAAGGGTGTGTGGTGGGTCAAGTGCAGGAGAGCCAGCCAGTCAGGCAGCCAGGCTTAAGGCTCTCAAAGAAAGTTATACGCTTAGCAACAGGCCCTCCTCATACGTGGGTGCAGTAAGAGGAAGGCAAGATGCACATCATTATGGACACCTGAACAATCCCCATCTAGCGTAAAAGAGATAACTGCTTTAATTAAAGATATGGGGATTCAGGTGATGAATTTCATCTTCATACTGTTCTGTAGTGCCCAAAGTTTTACCAGAAGAAATTATTATTTTCTTAATCGGTAAATTAATAAATATATTTTCAAACAAAAACTAACAATCATACTTAGGAAGTGGTATGATACATATTTCGGCTTTCTTACTTAACTAGAAAAAGAATACAACCAATGGAAAAGGTAGAATACAAAGAAAGAAACATACATACACCTATAAATTCTTACAAAAAGAAATTTCTTGGAGTTGGGGGTGGTACAGTTGGTTTAAATGCCCAACTCTTGATCTCAGCTTAGGTCATGATCTCACAGTTCGTGAGTTTGAGCCTCGCATCGGGCTGTGTGCTGACCCTGCTTAGATTCTCTCTCTCTCCCTCTTTTTCTCTCTCTGCCACGCCCCCGTTTGTGCGCACGCGCTGTCAACTAAAATGAACAAACTTAAAAAAAAGAAAAATGTTTAAAAAAAGAAATTTCTTGACTCAACAGTGCCATACTTACCGTGCTACAACTAAAAACTGGTCAATCTGTCGATCTGTAAGTGGGCTATTTGGATCCCAGACTTTAACTTCCAATTTGGACTGTTCCCTCTCATCGGATTCTCCTGTCCGAGAACAAAGGAAATGGAGTCTTGTTACTTAGCAAGGCAACCATTGCATTCCGTCGAGGACTGTGGGCACTACCGCGTTCAAAATGTGGTACATTCTTTCAGCAGATGGACAACATTTTGTAAAGTGAACACTGATAATAATACAACGAAACCAACCACAGCAGATTTTCATTTAGTTAGTAACATGTATTTCCTGGGTACTTGCATGTGTGAGGCACTAAACCTCATGCTGAGGGATATAAAAACAAAACAAAAAGCACGCCTGCTATGAGACGCTTTCACTGGTAAAACTAACACATAAGTAAGTAACTATGATACAAACGAAAAGAAACGTGTCATAAGGACATACAGAAAAGGCTGTAAAATTCTGACAATGAGAGGAATCACTTCAGACAAGCTAGGGAATGATGTCATAAAGGGTGTGGTATTTCTGCTAAGAACTGAAGGCTCTGATTGCACCAGCAGGGAGAAGGACTTAAAGTAAGAAATAAGAATGTGAGCAAAGTCATGTGGCTTTAAGATGTGACAGAAAAACAGCTCATTTTGTCACGAGCACATTAAAGGGAATGGGAGTAGATAACTAAAAGAAGGTTACGAACATAGTACTGAAGATTCTACACAGATTTTACTTCGAGGCAATGAAAAGCACCAGCCTTTTCAGTAGGAGAGTGGCAAGACCAGAAGGAAACTTCATACCTCACACTTAGCAATGGTATGTGATGAAGACAAAATATAGTGCTGACGCTGATGACAGAGAGCAAAGACAGGAGACATGTGTAGCAGGTAAATGTCAAGTCTTGAGAACTGCATGCATAGCGTCGGCATTAACAGAAAGCAGGAATGCTAGCAGGGCTGAGGAAAAGACTGACAATAACGCAGGATGCTTGCTTTATTTTAGGAATCTCTCACAAGGAGATAGAACTGTCAGGCGGGACTCAATGTCAAGACAAAGGATAGTAATGGAAAAGAGATGTGGGAGGCAACTGGAAGTCCGATTTACAGCTACGGGTTTCTTATTAGGCTGGGGACTGATTTTGGCTTTGTTTAGCTTTTGATTTATGAGGCAGAATGCCTTGCACTGACTGATACACTCTGAAGCTAAACATCCCTGGTGACAATCCTAGGCTGTGAGCCTCTAATGTGCTCAGTCCTAGCATAGGAGCAAGCAGGAATCAGGCTCAACAGGAGAAAGGGGTGGAGGAGGGTGGCAGGGACCCAGCCTTTCCACCTGCAGTCTCCTAAGTCAGCCACTGCAGTCAGGGTGGGGCTTGCCCTGCCTTGTTCAAAGGCAGGTAACCACAGAGCCAATCTCCACCCCCAACATAAAGAAGCACAAGCAGAGCAGAGCGAGTACTAGATCTAAAGTGTTTGAAAGGACTTTCGTTTTCATTGTTTGTTGCTTACAATTCTCAGCAACCTAAGCCAAGACATTCAACATCACCTCACAGTTAAAAGCCAAAAGATTTGCCAACTGTATGAAACTTGAGAGTAGAATCACACAATTACACTTCCCTGTAATCTTCAAAAAATAAAACTTAAGATAAATAATAACAGTACGAAAGATAATAATGGTAAATAACACAGGATGATTAAATGATGATGGTATCCAGTATTAAGCCCCTGTCACATTATATACTCCAGAATGTAATGATAAAACTGGTATTTACGTTTCAAATATAAGTTAATTAAGTTGACACATTTCAATCCCACCCATACATTCTACAGCATATAGCAGAAAGAGAATTCTGTGTAAGAATTCTAAACAGGGGCACCTGGTGGCTCAGTCAGTTAAGTGTCTAGACAACTTTGGTTCAGGTCTTGATCTCACGGTTTGTGGGTTCGAGCCCCATATTGGGCTCTGCGCTAACAGCTCAGAGCCTGGAGCCTGCTTCAGATTCTGTGTCTCCCTCATTCTCTCTCTGCTCCTCCTCTGTTTGTGCTCTCTGTCTCTCAAAAATAAACAAACATTAACAAAAATATAGCAGCAACAACCACAACAAAATAATAAATATAGAAATGTTCCTGGGGTGCCTGGGTGGCTCAGTCAGTTAAGTGCCTGACTTCGGCTCAGGTCACGATCTCACAGTTCGTGAGTTCAAGCCCTGCATCGGGGCTCTGTGCAGATAGCTCAGAGCCTGGAGCCTGCTTCAGATTCTGTGTCTCCCTCTCTCTGCCCCTCCCCCTCTCATGCTCTGTTTCCCTCTCTCTCTCTCTCAAAAATAAATAAAGATTTAAAAAAATTAAAAAAGAAATGTTCCTGGGGTGCCTGGGTGGCTCAGTGGGCTAAGCATCCAACTTTGGCTCAGGTCATGATCTCACGGTCCATGAGTTCTAGCCCCACGTCGGGCTCTGTGCTGACAGCTCACAGCCTGGAGCCGGCTTCGGATTCTGTGTCTCCCTCTCTCTCTACCCCTCCCCCACTCATGCTCTCTCTTTTTGTCTCAAAAATAAATAAACATCAAAAAAATAAAAAAAAATTTAAATGAAATTTTCCATATCTTGGGGTGCCTGGGTGGCTCAGTTGGTTAAGTGTCCAACTCTTGATTCTGGCTCAGGTCATGATATCACAGTTGTGAGATTGAGCCCTGCATCAGATTCTGTGCAGTAATCTTTGGAATGGTCTTGGTGACTGTGGTATGAGCCAGAGATGGGACCAAGACTACTGGTCATGTTCACGCTAGTCATTGCAATAATCTCACCTCACTCTTTCATTTATGATTATCCAGGCAATCAGTCCAGTCCCAGTCTCATCCCACACCAGCTTACGTACATCTTCCTAATCTCTGAATTCTTAAAAAATGTATTTACCAACTAATTACATGAATGTATATATAGCACCTTATTTTTGCTTCATAAATTTTTCATAATTTTGAAAAAAATGTAGATTTAGCAATGATTTTAAATGTGGTATCCCTAATCCTCCAGCTACTTCAAATTTTAAGGTTTCTATTAAATATGGATGAAAGAAGAAAAGAAACAAAAAAAAGAAAAAGAAAAAAGAAAATTCAGACAAAGTACTTCTTCAGTATAATCACCTAAAAGTACATAATAGAGTTCAAAGACTCTGAAGAACTAAAGCTATATGGAAATCATCTTATAGGCTCTTTCCTGGATAATTGAAAATATTCTTTGTTCTAAACACAATTCATTTTCTTTGCACCAATCATCAGAGTACAATACTTGTCATGCTATTATTAAATTCAGAAACACACAAAGATGCCATTAGTCACCATTTTTATTCAATATTGTTCTCAAAGTTCTGGCCAATGTTTTACGTTATCAATCAAAGGAATGATGAGTTACTAGAGACAAATACTGTACATCATTTACGTGTGGGATCTAAAAAAGCAATACTCATAAAAACCAGAGAGTGGAACAGTGGTTACCAGGGGCTGGAGTGTAGGGAAATTGAAAAGGGAAAGATGTTGTTTTGGGATACAAATTCCAACTACTAGAAAAGTAAGTCCTGGAGATCCAATGCATAGCATAGTGACTATAGTCAATAATACTATAAACTTCAACGTTGGTAAGAGACTAGATCTTAATTGTTCCTGCAACAAAAAAGAAAGGATAATTGTATGATGTGATAGCGGTGTTAGCTAAGCTATAGGTAGTAATCGCATTGCAATATATAAAGTCAGCAAATCAACACTCTGTACACAAACTTACACAATGTTATGTGTCAGTTATATCTCAAGAAAAATATCTTATAAAAAATAAGTAACTAGAAAATATCTATATAAAAGTAACTAGAATGGCACAATAAAAATAGAACATAAAAAATCCAGTGCCATTCCAAAGAAAATATAATGTAAAAAAAAATTATGTTTTTGTTGCTGTAATAGAAAATATAACACTAAGAAACAAAACTGGAGTTATGTTTATATAAAACAAAACTTTTAAAGAAACTTTCAAAGAAGATAACTTGATTAAAAAAGAGGAAAGATTTAAAATCCTAAGGATATCATTTTTGTACAAGTATACCAACAGGCTAAATTTCACAAAATTTACTTTGAAAGCCAATAAAATAATTTGAATAGTAACCACCACAAATCCAAGAATAATAATAAAAGAATTAACTAGGGGCACCCAGGTGGCTTAGTCAGTTAAGCATCCAACTCTTAATTTTGGCTCAGGTCATGATCTCATGGTTCATGAGTGAGTTCGAACTCCACACTGGGCTCTGTGCTGACAGCAGGGAGCCTGCTTGGGATTCTGTGTCTCCCTCTCTCTCTCTGCCCCTCCCCACTCCTGCTCTGTCTCTCTCTCTCACTCTCTCTAAAATAAACATAAAAAATAAATAAATAAATAAATAAATAAATAAATAAACAAACAGGAGGAAATGGGAACTTAGAGGGTTTAGTTTTCCCAAGGTGACTCAGCTAAACATATTATTGCCAGGTTTTGCACAAACCTACAAACCCACAGTCATTTTAGTTTATTAATTTAATGTTACTATAATACTTTTTTGCAGTTACAAATTTTAATGAATATGTAAAAAGATTTTGTTGAAATTTTCAGTATTACAGTGAAATAATAATTTAAAACTTCCCATGTTATGACATCTTTTTCAATGGGAAATTCTCCAGGTGGTTATTTCAAACGCAACAGAAGATTTAAAATCTCAAAGAAACCTTTATCTTCCCTTGCAAACTACATACTGGTCTTTCCAGATCTCAAGAGTTTGTTAGATGGTGGGTAGCCATAAGCGAATTTTTAAATTCTGAAACTACAAAAAGATTTATTCACTAGCAAGACAAATGCCACAACAACGTCTTAGAATCCCAAGACATTCACAAACAAAGCAAGCCTGTTATATATTCTGGCATGGTGTTGATGCTGCCACCTACTGGGGGTATTAATTCAGGTTCTATATCCCATGCCAATGCAAATTGGAATATGGCCACTGGTCAAAATGTACCCACTCAAGAGTATCAAAAGGGTTAGTAAACACAGACTCTGGCAACTCCTAAACATCTGTTGAGTGTGGTATT